AGCAGGAATTTCCTACCTTTGGGTTCTGTGAGACACCTCCATTTCCTCCCAACACATCCTTCTCCTTTGGCTGTGACCAAAGGCAAACTATGTTTCTTGTCCAACCCTCCCTAAGTGAGATACAAGGAGACCAGGCAGCAAGAGGTGAGTCCAGAAAATAACTGAAGCTGCGGGGAGGAGGGTAGATGGGCTATAGAGGGCTTCTCAACCATCAGGCCTGGAGCCAGAGGGTGGAATGAAGCAAGTGACAGGTCCCACATGGGTTGGGAAGGCCTTACCCAGAGAGACCAGGAGCCCGCAGGTCTCCAGCATCACCTCCTGGTACAGGGTCCTCTGGGCGGGGTCCAGCTGCCCCCACTCCTCCTGGGTAAAAGTCACGGCCACGTCCTCATAAGTAACAAGCATCTGGAAAGTCAAGCAGACGCAGTTGTGTTGGTCTTGGGGCTATTGATCGAATCAGAGCCCATCTCTCTCCATGGCAAAGATGCAGAGACCAAACAGCCCCTGAAGGCCGAGCTCTGTGCTAGACTTCAGGAGGCAGACACTGCTCTAGACTGATCACAGCAGTGTAGACGACAGAAGCCTCCTAGGCAGGAGCCGACAGAGAATGAAAAGAGGTTGGGACCCTCCCGCATGGACTGTGAGGCACAGAATGGTAAGGGTGCTAAGGTGTCAGACAAATGGGAAAGAATAATAATGACAACAAAACAATACCAATAATAATTACAGCAACAGCACCCCAGACCCACTGGTCCTCATTGTGTGCCTGCCTCATGCTGAGGCATTTACATGTCTTGTTAAAGTGTCTGAAAGTCCCCAGCTCTTAAGTCTCACCCACTCCTGAGGTTTGAATCCTAAGTCCTAAAGTCAGCACTTGCCTGCTGTGTGAACTTGGGGGCCTCGCTTAATTTCTCTGAACGTTGATTACTGAATCAATACAATGATTCTCACTGAGCAATAATAGTTATGAGAATTAAAGAAAAAAGAAACAATGGGTGACTGGCCACAGCCGGTGAGGTCAATGCCATTATCATCTTCATGTCAGTCAGGAGACCTGAGGCCCAGGGAGCTCTACCAGTTCACCCAAAGTTTACATGTGTTGTGATCAGAGGCAGGATTTAAAAGCAGGTTCCTCTGGTCTGAGGTCTAACAGCATAACCATGACCCACTGGCAAAGTAAAACCACAGTTAATGAAGATGTGAAGAATTTTAAATAAATTTCCCAGTTATATTCATTTCAGCCACTGCTGAAAATAATTCTGCAGACGTGGGCAGAGGAGCAGATTCATCATCACCCACCTCACAGGAGAGTCACCTGAGGTGGTGGTACCTGCTTGGGAAGTGGCAGGGCCTGGACCAGCTCCTGCTGCCATGTGAACCTTGGAGACTCCCAGGGAGAATCCACAATGAGCCATCACTTCTTTTTTCTACCTGAGACCTGACAGCATGTATCCCGGAGGAAAGAATACTTCAGGGACCAGGGAATAGGAATTGCTGAGGACACTGGAGGCTGTAGCCAGGAGAACAACAGCCTTTGATTGGCCATGATGTCTGTCCTGGCTGAGCAGGATGGAACATTCAGCCAACGGCCACACCGTCTGGCCCTCCCAGGACATGTCTCAGCAGATGGGGGAGTAGGGAGGATTCTGGCAATCACAAAGACCCTCTGGGGGTTCCTTAAACAACCAATATACCTTTTATTTGGTCCACACTCTTCCGCATGCTGAAATGCCATGTCCTTGGTTCATGCCAAGACTGCCTACTGGAAGGAAGCCTGCTTGGCTCGCAAAGTTTACTTTAGGTGTCACCTCCAGGCAACCCTCTCCACTGTTCGTAGAGAAGAGGGTAAAAATACAGGCTGTGGTGGCGACATACTGGTTGTTAGTTTCTGCTACTAAAGAACTGCAATGAACTTGGGCAGGAAACTGAACTTCTCTGAGTCTCAAGTTGTTCTTGTACAAAACAGTGATAATAACAGAACTTAGCTCTGAAAAGGTGAGGAGTACATGAGGTGATGTATTATGCCTGTCTACCTGCTAACAGCAATGACTCAATCGAGGCCGGCCGGCTATTATGGTTCTTTTCTCATTGTTTTCTCTTTCCTCCCACAGCATCCTGGACAAATTCAACCAGGAATTTTGCCAGGGTCCCTACACAAAAATGCCAGAACACAGGCAACAGGAAGGGGCCATTTTAAGCTAACTGCTAGAAAAGGCCTCTCCAAATAGGAGACATCTGCGCAGAGGCCAGAAGGATGTGAGAGAAAAGTCCTGCAAAGATATAGGAACAGTGGGACTTCCCTGGCGGTCCAATGGTTAGGGCTCCATGCTTCCACTGCAGGGGGCGCAGGTTCGATCCCTGGTTGGAGAACTAAGATCCCCCAAGCCCTGCAGCACGGCCAAAAAAAAAAAAAGATACAGGAACAGTACTCCAGGCAAAGGCCAGTGCAAATATAAAGATTGGGGGCGGGGCAAGGGGACAGAGAACTTATCATGGTCAGGTTGGTGTGTCTGCAGAACAGTGAGCCAGGGAAGAACGGAAGGTCAGAGGAGGTCGGCCGGGAGGATGGAAAGCTGGAATTCTAGAATTTTAAGTGTGACGGGAAGGAAGGAAGCATCATTCATCCTTCACGCACTGATGAAACACCTGTCGGAGACCCAAAACTGTGGTAAGACCGCGGATAAAATAACGAGTCAGCGCCACTTGTAATTAAACGACGAGGACAAAGAGAAACCCAATGGCTTACTTAGCCTCCAGCCTGCCCAGGAGCCCTCTCCGAACCAGCGGAGAAGCAGCAATGCCAGCAATATGGCCCACTCACCCGCGCCGGATCCAACCACGCCGCCGCCATCACGGGACCGTGAGGAGAGAGCGGGGCCAGAGAGGCGGCTCCAGGATTCAGCCGCCCGCCTCCTGCCCAGAGCAGGTGGGGGAGGGGGTTGGGGTTGGTGGGGGGGTCACCTCGGCCGACGGTCGCACTCTGAGCCTCAGTTCCCCAAGCGCAAAATAGGCACGAGGCCCAGGCCGTCGCGTCAGAGCTGCGGGGACGGGGTCGGGGCCCCGGCGGGCGCTCACGGGACACTCCCGTTACGGAGGACCCAGGGCGGGTGTTGGGCTAGTACACCGACACGGAGGTAAGACACACCCTCCTCACTGGCCTGCCCAGCTCGGGGCTGGGAAACGCACCCGGCCCATCGCCACAGGACCCACAGCCCCAGAGGCCCCAGCCGGCACAGATAGATGACGCAGCTCTCCAAATGGTCGGAGGTCCCGCCCCCGCCGGCGCGGGCCGCAGGAAACCTCCCCCCGTTCTGAGCCGTCACTGGCCCAGCATCGGCGCAAACACGCGGCGCTCAGCCTTCTGGGTAACGTAGTATTTTTTTTCTCCTGCAAACAACCAGGTGTGTGGAGCAACTTGCCTCTGAGCATCAGTGGAAGCAGTAATTCTGGACTCTCTCCTCAAACACCATGAATGGTCTCTATCGGTGGAAAAAAACTCCCAGACTCCCAGATTTTTTCTGGCAAGGAATGTGAAAAATGTGTCCTGACCCTGGAATTCTGTCACCTGCTCCTTCCTGTTCATCCCTAGTATCGCTTTAAAGCTCACTGTGTAGAGCCCTGTAGGCCACTGTAAAGAAGTCGTAATATGTTCCCTGTGTGTTCTAGAATATACCCAGGAATTGTTTAATTTGGTATATGTTAATATACACAGAAATGGGAATGATTGTCATGAAGGAAGTAGTTTATGCTCACACATTCCTAGAAACAGGAGACAGGGCACATCACAAAGGGCCACGAGTGGAAGACCAGGATGGGTCAGGAGGTAAGAGAGGTGAAGAAAGCATGGTCCACAGCTTTTATTGTGTTTTCAACAGGAAAGATAAGGAAGGGTAGGATAAACAGTTTGGTATTGGCTAGTTTGAATACTGTCAACAGGCTTTGGAGCATACGGGCTAACCTTATTTGCCCGGCACAGGCCCTTAGATGATGAGAAATATAGTCTCCTAAGTGTAAGAGTCAGAAAGAGGAGGGTTTCCAACTAGGGGCTTTGGGTTGCTTAATTTACACATGAAAGAAACAGCCCCTAAGCGTAGTTTGTTACCTCTAAGAATTGGCTAGTCCTGAAAGGGGCATTCTTGGGAATTTCCTGGCAGTCCAGTGGTTAGGACTCCATGATCTCGCTGCTGAGGGCCCAGGTTCAATTCCTGGTTGGGAAACTAAGAGCCCACAAGCCACGCTGTGTATTTGGGGACCTCAATTAGTTGTCTTTCACCATTTTCAGAGGTGTGGGTCTATGAGAAGGGCATGTGGAACAATCTCTCTAAAATACCAATTCCACGGGAGATAACTGGGGTCTTACTAACACCATCATCCCTTGAATACCTGCTTTCTACTTGCTCACCTGGACAGCCCCTCCTTAGAATTGCTCCTTGCTCTGTCCATGACTCTCTACCTTGTTGCAACTTAAAGATCACATCTGGCTTGATGCACTGACACCCTGTTCTTTGGAAGTGACATAAAAATGGCCAATTTGGGGCTTCCCTGATGGCACAGTGGTTAAGAATCCACATACCAATGCAGGGGACACGAGTTCGAGCCCTGGTCCGGGAAGATCCAACATGCCGCACAGCAACTAAGTCCATGCGCCACAACTACTGAGCTTGCACTGTAGAGCCCGCGTGCCCCAAATACTGAGCCTGAGTGCCACAACTACTGAAGCCCGTGTGCCTAGAGCCCGTGCTCTGCAACAGAGAAGCCACCGCAATGAGAAGCCCGTGCACCTCAACAGAGTAGCCCCCGCTCGCCACTAGAGAGAAAGCCCACGTGCAGCAACGAGGACCCAAAGCAGCCAAAAATAAATAAATGTATATTTTTTAAAAGACTAAAAAGGGGGGTGGGCCACAACAAAAAATATATGCTTAATACACGGATCTCCAAATTAAAAATCACAGCAGACAGAAATTTCCTTCAAGTCATCCAGCTGGTTAGAACAAGGCCAGGAAGTGTAACCAGGTGGTCTGACTAGAGGGTCCGTGCTCTTGACACTGCTCCAAGGAAGGGAAAATAGTGCCCATTTACAATTTAGCTTAGACCATTCAATTGTCAGGTGTGTAACATACCTGTGAACAGATCACAAATCTTTAACCCTCAAAACTCAAGGATGACGTCTTTGAGCATTCCAGAGGCACCTCAGCATCCAATAACTAAGACAGGAAAGGCAGTCTGCGGGCCAGAGTATGAGTACAAAGGGGAGAGGCAAATACTCCCTGAGACCAGATTCCTACAGATCTCCAGCATCACGTCTCTGTAGAGGGTCCTCCCAGCTGGACCAAATGCTCCCATACCATCTCAGTAAAAATCACAGACAGGTCCATGAACTTGACTAAGCCTGCAACAACAAACCCTTTAATCTCCAGTTATGCACATTTAATGATGTAGGAATTATTATGACCCCATGTTCTTTAATTTTTTTTGTTGAAGTCAAAGGCTACAAGTTTCAACAGTGGGAACAAAAAGTAAATGAGAAACTGTTGACACATGTGCAATGGAAATACACAGCATTGACCTGGTTGTTACATCTTTGTACAAATAAAAACAAATGGAATATTTGCAAGTCAAACCACTGACGACATATCTAAATAGACACAAATTTATTGAGAGGCAAGATTCTTTCTCACAAGACATTCTCTACATTTTGTCATCACTAAATTAAATCTTGACCACTACGTAAGAATTTCCACTCTGACATAACTGATTGTTTTCGTTACAGTGATTTACATGTATATAAGCCTTCACCTCAAAGCTATGACTTATTTCTTCTTGTAGCAAACTGTATTTGTTAAAGAAATTTGAACTTCCTCAACATTTAGGTATCATTTAAGTCACTGTGAAGAAGAGTTAATATAGCATGCTATCCTTTGAGCTTCAAAGTTTGCCCTTGGCTAAAGTTTGAGGCCTTAGATTTCGGGAGGCTTCCTATCATTCCCAGAAATGATGAATGGCTCAGTGCACCTATTGTTTGTGTAAACAAGGTGGCTTATGCTGCTAACCTGTTATGCTTCTGGAGGTCTAGAATTCTGTTATGCTCTAGACAGAGTGCCCAATAAAAATCATAGGCACTGAGGTTCTAATAAGTTTCCCTAGTAGACATTTCACACATGCAGTCATAATTCATTGACAGAACTTAAGTTAAGCACTCAGAATTCCTAAAGCTTGTCCCTGGTTTCCTCTGGACTCCAGTCCTTGTATCTTTTCCCTTGACTGAGATTGCTTTGTATTCTTGTGCTGTCATAAACCATCGATGTTGAGTATAATATGCTGAGTCCTTTGATGCTTCCTAGTAAGTCATAAACCTTGGTAGTCTTGAGGACTTTCAACACAATCATTTAAAGTCTTATAGATCTGTCCATAAAAGCCCATATAGTTTCTCTTTGTGGTCAACATGTCATATACTGTGCCAACTATACACACAGCTTTGTGTAAACTCTGTGAGGGAGGCAAATATAAAAATACACTACTGTGAGGCCATTCACTAACACACATATATTGAGCGTCTACTGAGGAAAATAAAAACGTAAAGTGAACAGAATCAGACAGTGGCTAGATGTGAGGATGATAAAAGAAAAATGGCTGTGAGGTGTCTGGCTTGGTCAACAAGATAGAAGATAATGGAATTTACTGAGACTGTTTTTTCAGGCACCTCAAACACAATGTCTAAAACCAAATGCCAACTGTAGCCCTTTTCTACCTCCCTGCTTCCTCAAACTCAGAGATTATCTATATTTCCTACAAAGTTACAAGAGATGATGCAACCATTGAAGACTGAGTTTGGTTTCTCACTCAAACTGAAAGGATGGCCAAGATGTACTATAAAATGAGAAAGGGGGTTACAGATCAAATGAGCATTATTTGATCCGTTTTAGTAAAAATGAATAGTGACCAGGAAAACAAAGATTCATACTACAAGAAGGAATCTAGGAGTGATAAGGGCATGGACTCTGCAGCCAGCCTAAATGGCCTCCAATCCCTAATCTCATACTTTGTAATGACTGTACAATTTTGGGCAAACTCCTTAATCTTTCTGTTCCTCAGTTTCCTGATTTGTAAAATGAGGATAATATTACCTATCACATAGACTTGTTGCAAAGGTTAAGAGTTGATGTGTTTAAACATTCAAAACAATGGCTGATATACAGTAATACCACGTTTGCTTGCTCTTAGAATTATTATGGGTGCATCCTTATGGTGATGGTCTTGGCCAAATGACACATGCATAAACTCAGTGTATATGAATACACAGAAGGTGTGGAAGTATGAACAGAGGGTAACAGACATGAGAAATATTCAACGTGGAGACACAGATTTGGGGGAACTCTAGATCACTGAGTATAAAATGCATTGAGTGGGAATTAACTCACTCATGGAACACATCACAAGTGAGAAAGCAATGGCCTTGGATGGACCCTGGGAAGCACATTGTTTAATACATGGGCTAATGACACAGACTCTCTGAAGAAGGGTAAGAACTCACAGAAACCAGGAAAGGACCTTCAAGTCTGAGAGGTGGGCAGCAGTCCAACAGTGATGGGAAGGCAGGAGGAGGAGAGAGGACAAAAGGGAACTTTGTGAGACCTGCTTAAGCCAGGCAACCATGGTGGAGGAGGCCATTCTTTAGTTGTCAGTGGAGCGAAAGGGACGTGATGGGGTGAGGACAGGCAGTGGACAGAACAGTCACACAGGGTGTATCTGTTAGAGAAAAGAGAAGGGCAGAGCTCAATACGCATGTAGGGCAGAAAGTGCCTGGGGGTGAGGAACACAGGTATAGATTGTGAGGACAGAAGGGGATTCAGAGGAAGAAGTTAAAGACCAAGAAGTAGAGGCACAAAAGAAAGATAGTGGCCCTATACAAGTTGGGGAATATGGGAGAATGTGTTCAACAACAAAGAGGAAGACTGAACCTGGAAGACGAGTAGCCCATTCTCCTTTGAGGCTATAACAAGCCTTAGAGAGCTCGGAAATTTTACACACAAATCTTCCTTGGAGAACACAACTCTGAATCTGCAGGTTGACCAGTTTTATTTTCTTGAGAAATATTTGTGGATAACAACACAGAAGATGGCAGGTCTTCCATTCCTCCAGATACTTCAGGATTTCTATTCCAGTATCAAGATAAACCACCAGAGAACCACTGACTTTGGACTACACAGTTTTGCTTGTTTTCTCAGAGTCCTTCTTTGGCATCATAAACTATGCAAAGAAATAGAAGATGTGTAAAAGAACCAAACGGAAATCAGACAATTGAAAAATTCAAAAACCAAAATGAAAATTCACTGGAAGAGCTCAATAGTAGATTATATATGAGAGAGAAGGAATCAGTGAGCTCAAAGAGAAATCAATGGAAATTAATCAACGTGAGCAACAGAGAAAAGCAGACTGGGGGAAACAAAAAGATGGGAGCCTGAGAATCCTATGGAACAAGAACAAGAGAACAAAGGGCTGAAAAAACTATTTGAAGAATAACTAAAAAGTTCCCAAATTTGCCAAATGGCATACACCACAAAATGTGAAAAGCTGAGCAAACACCAAACAGGACAAGCCCCCCAAATTTTATGGCAGATTACATCATAATCAAACTTCTGAACTCTATATACAAGGAAAAAACACTTTCAAAGCACTTGACATAAAGGATACATTACAGATAGGGAAATAATGAGTCAAATGGCAGCAGATTTCTCAACTGAAACAGATCAGATTTCCCATCTGGAAGACAGAAGGAAATGACTTACTTGCCTTTCAAGAACTAAAAGAAAAGAACTGCTGACCCTGAATCCTATATCCCACAAAAATATCCTTTGGGAATGAAGGAGACATAAAGACATTTTTAGATGAAGGATAACAAAAACTTTTGTTACCAGAAAATCTGCAACAAAAGACAGGCTACAGATGTTCGTGGGGCAAAAAATTTAAAAAGAAACTGTTAATGGAAGAAACTTGAGATTTCAAGAAGGAAGAAAGAACAATGTAATGAGTAAAAGTAGAAGTAAACAGACTGTGCTTCTTCTGAGTTTTGTAAAAATTGTTTGACAGTTGAAGCAAAAAGAACATCACCCAATATGGTGTTCAGTATATGAAAAGGAAATACTTAAGACAATTATATTAAAAGAATGGGGAATGTAAAGGTACCCAATGGAAGTACGGTTTCTACGTGTCAAAGTGCTAAAGTGTTGATACTGTAGGCTGTGATAAGTTATGTATGTACAATACAATACCTAGAGTAACCACTAAAATACAAGAGATATACTCAAAAACATCACAGATATATCAAGTGGAGTTCCTAACATTAAATCAACCCACAAGAAGGCAAAACAAACAACAAAAAGTACCCCCTCAAAACCAAACAACAACAGAGCAACAAAAACATCATAAAATGGTAGTTGTAAGCCCTAAAAATATCAATAATTATTTTAAATTTAAATGGCCTAAATATACCAATTTTAAAACAGATATCAGTAAGATGGATATAAGAAAATGAGCCAAGTATATGCTATTCACAATATTCACATATTACATTACTTCAAATGTAACAATATAGATAAGGTTGAAAATAAAATTATGGAAAAATATAAACCATGCAAACATTAACCAAAAAACTCAATAGTGGCTATATTAATATCAAATAAAGTATACTTCAAAGCAAAAAATTTTAGAGGAGCAAAAAGAAAGCATAATGATAAAAGGGTTATTACACCAAGATGACACAGCAATCCTAAATGTGTATGCACCAAACAACAGAGCTTTGAAATACATGAAGTGAACACTGACAGAACTTAAAGGAGGAAGAGACAATTCTAGAATTAAACTGCAGGACTTCAACACCCCTTTCTCAGCTGTTGATAAAAATACGAGGCAGGAAATCAGCTGATATAGATAATCTGAAAAACAGTATCAATGAACAGTATCTGGTACATACATATACAAACTCCACCCAATGACAGTAGGATACATACTCTTTTCAAGCAGCCTTACTGAACATTCATCAAATATCCTGGGTCATAAAACAAACCTCAAAAAATTTAAATAGCCAAATCAAACGTAAAAGAAATCAGAAGAAAGCACAAAATACTCCAAACACTGGGAAATTAAACAACATCCTTCTAAATAATCCATGGGTTAGACAGTCTCAAATAAAGAAATATTTAGAACTGAATGAAATGTAATTAGAACATAAGACAAGAAGCTAAAACAGTACTGTGAGGGAAATTTATAGAACTTAATGCTTACATTTGTAAAGTGAAAAAAAACCCCTCAAATCAATAACCTAATCACCCACCTCAAGAAACTGCAAAGGAAACTACTATCAAAGCAAGTAGAAGAAAGGATATAATAAAGATCAGAAAAAAAAAAAAAATTCAGTGAAATTAGGAAAAGATAGAGGAAAAAATGATATAAAGTGCTGGTTCCTTGAAATAAAAAAATTGATAAATGTCTAAGAAAATTGACAAAGATAAAAGAGAGTTAACACATTTCCAATAATAGGAATAAAACACGGGCTATAAGTAGATTCTGCTGCCATCAAAAGGATAATAAAGGAATACTTTAAACAAATAAGAAAATTTAGATGAAATGGGACAATTCCTAGAAAAAGACAAACTATAAAAACTTAACCAATATGAAATAGATACTCTGAATAGTTCTATACATATTAAATAAAATAAATACATACTTAAAAAGCATCCAAAAGAAAAATCTCCAGGACTAAATGGTTCACTGGAGAATGCTACCAAACATTAAAAGAAGAAATAAAACCAATTCTATACAACACACTGTCTTGTGAATAATACAACACCTGTTAACACATGTTAGGAGGCCAGAATCACCTAGACACCAAAACCAGACAATGACAATTGAAATATATATATAGAGAGAGAGAGAAAGAAAACTACATATCACTGTCACTCATGAAATTAGAGGAAAACTTCCTCAACAAAATACTAGCATATTTAATACTGTAATATAATATATAAAAATAATTATACTCCATGACGAAGTGGGGCTTATTCCAAGGATACAAGGCTGGTTCGACATTCAAATCTCAAATGAATATAATACATCATATCAACAGGCTACAGAAGAAAAAACACAGGATTCTATCAATTGATTACAAAAAAAGCATTTGACAAAGTTCAACTCATTCACAATAACAAAAAAACACAGTAAATTAGGAATATGGGTAACTTCCTAAACTTGATAAAGAAAACTCTATGAAGAAAACCTTACAACTAACACCATAGTTAATGATGAAAATCTGAATGTTTTTCCCCTAATATTAGGACCCAGGCAAGAACATGTTTTCTCACTACTAGTATTTAACATCATATTGGAAATCTTAGCTAGTGCAGTAGGACAAGAAAAGGAAATAACAGGTATACAGATGGGAAGAAGTAAAACTGTCTCTAATTGCAGATGATACTTCTATGTAGAAAATCCCAAGCATTCTATCAAAAGAAACAGCAAGCTTGCAGGATACCAAAATAACATGAAAAATATACATATTTCTGTATACTACCAAAGACTGTGTGGAAACTGAAAGTTTAAAAATCAATGCCATTTATAATTACTCAAAAAAAAAAAAAAAAAAAAAAAAAAACCTGTATCTAAATCTTAAAAACATTGTACAGGACCTATTACTGAGACTTATAAAATAGTAATGAAGTAAAACAAGCCATATCAAATAAATGTACAGACATAATGTTTTCATGAATTGGAAGACTCAAAACAGCAAAGATGCCAACTCTCAACAAATAAATCTGCCAATTTAACTTAATTTCTATCAAAATTCAATACAGTTTTTTTTTCTGGTAAAAACAGACAAACTTATCCAAAACTTTACATGGAAATTCAAAGTAACAAGGAATGTTAATCAGTTTTAAATAAGAAGACTGAAAACAGAGGACTCACTTTACCCGATTAAAAGATTTACCACGTAACTAGAGCAATTAGTAAACCAATAATAGTACAGGACGAAGAAAAAGTCTGAGTATTAGGTCTTTAAAACCACATGAAAAAAAGGTTTGTTTTTAAAGAATCAAAGACTAAATAGTCTAAAATGGTTCAACAGAACGTGCCCATTCATGTGTATTCTTATCTCCTTAAATATAAAGGCATTTGATGGCTCAAACCAAAAAATTAAGGTCCTTAAGAATAGAGACAATGTTTTAGAACAAAGGAGATGTTCAATGAAAGTTTTCAGACCTGTCTAACTCTCTTTAAACTGGATAGCAATGAATATATATACAAGACACATAGAGTCTAGGTTCTTTACCATGGAAACAAAACTATCCTCCTGCCAATTAACTAAGGAATCAATGACAAAGTACCATAGCTTGGCAAGAAAGTCTGAAAGAAACACTTTGTAGTTTATTTTCTAATTTAAGTTTCTCCCTTCTTTTTTAAAAAAATTCCTGAGATAACACTGAAGTGTAAACTAAGAAGAAAAATGTAGCTGAAGGTTTTCCTAAGTGCATAATAACCACTGGGTCTCTGTCTTTGATGAATTCTCAGATGTAGAATAAGGCTCTAGGTTGGGTCAGTTTCCAATATGACTCTTTAGATGACAACTGATATCCTGCAATAGGTATTCTCACAGGGAAGAAAATTGTGGGGTTTCTCTTTGGTATGAATGATCAGATTCTGAGTAAGATGTTTCCTCTGGCAAAAGATTTTCCTCAGTGGTTACATGCAAAAAGTCTTTCCCCAATAGGAGTTCTTGAAGATTGACTGAGGATTGCCCACTTGTGAAGGTTCTTCCCACATCTGTCACACTGACAGGGTTTCTCCCAGTGTGAACCCTCTGATGCTGAGTGAGGGATGAGCTGCGACTGAAGGCCTTTCCACACTCACTGCACTCATAGGGCTTCTCTCCAGTGTGGATGATGGAGTGTCGAATGAGGTTTGTGCTCCAGCAGAAGGTTTTCCCACACTCGAGGCATTCATAGGGCTTCTCTCCACTGTGAATCCGCTGGTGCCTGGTGAGGCCTGACCTGCGGTTAAAGGCCTTCCCACACTCCATGCACTCGTAGGGCTTCTCTCCAGTGTGGATGCTGAAGTGCCGAATGAGGTCTGCCCGATTGCTAAAGGCTTTCCCACATTCTTTGCACTCAAAAGGTTTCTCTCCAGTGTGGGCTCGTTTATGCAAGATAAAAGTGGAGCAGTGGGTGAAGGCCTTTCCACATTCAGTGCACACGTAGGGCTTCTCCCCAGTGTGAATCCGCTGGTGCCTCTTGAGGTATGACCTGTGGTTGAAGGCCTTCCCGCACTCGAGGCACTCAAAGGGCTTCTCCCCAGTGTGGATGACATAGTGGTGAATGAGGGCTGCGCTCTCACAGAAGGCTTTCCCACACTCACTGCATTCGTAGGGCTTCTCCCCAGTGTGAATCTGCTGGTGCCACATGAGGTATGACCTGTGTTTAAAGACCTTGCCACATTCAAAGCACTCATACGGATTCTCACCACTGTGGATAATGTAGTGTCGAATGAAACCTGGCCTATCTCGGAAGGCTTTTCCACATTCTTTGCACACAAAGGGTTTTTCTCCAGTGTGGCTCCTGTTATGCAAAACAAAAGTGGAGCGGTGGGTGAAGGCCTTTCCACATTCACTGCATTTATAAGGCTTTTCTCCACTGTGAATCCGCTGGTGTTGTGTAAGATGTGACTTGCGGTTGAAGGCCTTGCCACACTCCATGCACTTATAGGGCTTCTCCCCGGTGTGGACCATGTGGTGTTGAAGGAGATAAGTGCTCTTACTAAAGGTTTTCCCACACTCTGTGCATTCATAGGGCTTCACTCCAGAGTGAATCCTCTCATGTCGAGCAAGGAGGCGTTTCTTATTAAAAATTTTCCCACATTCGTTGCATTTAAAAATACTTTCCTCTTCCTGAATCATGAGATCATTACCAGATCCACATGAGTCATGGTCATGGACAGCACCTCCTGGAGGGACCGGCTCCTCTACAATCTTTGAACACACACTACCAGGTGTCCCTAAGCTGCCATATTCAGAGCATGGTTTCACAGGGAGCTTGCCCTTCTGGGGTTCTATCTCTGGTCTCAAGTGTCCTTCTTGCATTTCCAATGACCCTTCCTGATCGTTGATTTGGCCCAACTGGGAGTCCTCTAAAACGCTTTGTATTAGTTGTTGCTGGAGTGAGACTCCCTCAGACAGGGCTGGCTCACAAGTGGTAGGTTCTGTGGTCTTGGGCTTTCCTTTGTCACCTGAAAGAAATTCAATACACAAAAAGACCTGTTAATAATGCCAACATGGAAGAAAGAAAATCAATATTTCAGTGAAAAAAATGAAGATGGAAATAGTGTCTCTGTGTCTGCCACATTTCCCGACCTCTGAATCCCAGGATAACAATTTCTTTCTTTCCTGATCCTTGGACTGTTGACACCTTGAAAGGGAGACCCAGAGAACTAGCTGGGTGAGAGGACAGGGGGCTGGAAAAAGACATGGTCAATTCCAGACTGGATAGTTATGCAAATAAGTAACTCATCTGAGCTCACAGAGAGCTCATGGTGAAGAGATGACTCAGTGCAAAGCCTGAAAGACCAACTATGTGATCAGAAGGTTGGGGTTTTAAGCCGTAAGATAACAACTAGACCTCCAGAAACAGGAGGGCAGGAGACTGAGTCATACAGCCACTGATTTAATCAGCTGTGCTTATGTAATGAGACTTGGTGAAATTCTTAGGTTGGCAATATTTCATGCATATATTGCCATACATCAATGCCAGGAGGCTAGCGAGTCTGAGGACATAGTAGCTTATGTTTGGAACCTCTCCAAAATCTGTTCCTAAAAAACATCTGATGCAAACCTACTGGACAAAGACTTTACAACAACCATCTTAAAAAAGCTCAAGGAGCTAAAGGAAGATACAGAGAAAGTCAAGAAAACTAGGTAAAAACAAAATGGAACCATCAATACAAAAAAAGAAAACCTAAAAGGAAATGAAAAAGAGGGAATTCCCTGGTTGTCCAGTGGTTAGGAGTCCATGCTCTCACTGCAGGGGGCCCAGGTTCAATCCCTGGTCAGGGAACTAAGATCCCGCAAGCCATGTGGCGTGGCAAACAAAAAAAGAGAAAAGAAATGAAAAAGAAATTCAGAAGCAACAAGTTCAGTAACTAAAATGAAAAACTCACTAGAGGGATTCAAAGAAAAATTTGAGCAGGAAGAAGAAATAATCTGCAAACTTGAAGATAGGACAATGGAAAATATTGAGTCTGAGAAACAGAAAAAAAGAAAAGATTGAAAAATAGTGAGTAGAGCCTAAGAGACCTATGATACACCCAATGAATCAACATACTCATTAGGGAAGTCCCAGAAAGAGGAGAGAGAAAGGGTCAGAGAGAATATTTGAAGAAATAGTGGAAAACTTCCCAAATTTGATGAAACATCCAAGAAGCTCAATGAATTCCAAGAAAAATAAAGAGACTCACACTGAGAAAATTACAATCAAACTTTTGAAAGCCAAAGATAGAGTATAGCAAGCATGAAGCAACTTGTTACATACAAGGGGCACTCAATAAGATTATCAGCAGATTTCTCATCAGAAACTTGGGAGGCTAGAAAGGAGTGGTTCAATATATTCAAGTGTAAAACAGACAAACAAAAAGTGTCAAGTAAGAATCCTGTATCTGGCAAAGCTGTCCTTCAAGAGGGAGGAAGAGGGACTTCCCTGGTTGTCGAGTGGTTAAGACTCCATGCTTCCAAGGCAGGGGGTGAGGGGTTTGTCAGGGAATTAAAATCTCACATGCAGCTCAGCACGGCCAAAAAAAAAAAAAGTGAGGAAGAACTTAAGACATTCACATATATGAAAGCTAAAGGAGTTTGTTACCACTAGATCTGCTCTGTAAGAAATTCTTAAGGGAAAATTCTTCCAGGGTGAAATGTAAGGACACTAGACAGTAATTCAAAACTATACCAAGAAATAGAGATCTTGATAAAGATAAATACGTGGGCAATTATAAAAGCTAGTATTACTTTGTAACTCTACTTTTTTTAATATGTATATATTTATTTATGGCTGTGTTGGGTCTTTGTTGCTGCACACGGGCTTTCTTTAGTTGTGGAGAGGGGGAGCTACTCTTTGTTGTGGTGCACGGGCTTCTCATTTTAGTGGCTCCTCTTGTTGTGGAGCACGGGCTCTAGGCACACAGGCTTCAGTAGTTGTGGCACGTGGGCTCAGTAGCTGTGCCACACAGGCTTAATGGCTCCGCAGCATGTGGGATCCTCCCGGACCAGGGCTCGAACCCTTGTCCCCAGCACTGGCAGGTGGATTCTTAACCACTGTGCTACCAGGGAAGTCCCGTGTAACTCCACTTTTTGTTTTTACATGATTTAGAAGACTTTTTAAAATTGTTAATCTAAAGGCTACTATTATTATAACTTTAGTTTATAACTCCATGTGTAGTTTCCTACATAATTTAAAAGACTAATGCATTCAAAAGAATTAGTAGTTTAAGTTTCTAGGCATACAATATATAAAGATGTAACTTTGTGACACGAACAATTGAAAGGGGAGATGACAGAGCTGTAAAGGATTTTTGTTTGTTTGTTACTGAAGTTAAGCTGGTATAAAATCAAATTAGTGTTAAAACTTTAATATGTTAGATGTCATTCCCATGGTAACCACAAATAGCTATAGAATATATTCAAAAAGGAATTTAAATGTTTCACTACAAAATATCAACTAAACACAAGACTATAACACAGAAAATGAGAAAGAAAAAAGCTATAATGCATATAGAAATCAAATATCAAAATGACAGAAGTCTCTCCATATCAGCAATTACTTTAAATGTAAATGGATTAAACTCTTCAATTAAAAGACAGAGATTAGCAGAATTGATAAAAACACATGATCCAGAGACTTCCCTGGTGATCTAGTGGTTAAGAATCTGCCTTCCAAGGTAGGCGACACAGGTTCGATCCTTGGTCTAAGGAACTAAGATCCCACATGCCTTGGGGCAACTAAGCCCTGGCACCGCAACTACTGAGCCTGTACGCCAGAACTAGAGAGCCCACGTGCCGCAACTACACAGCCCACGCACTCTGGAGCCCACGCGCTCAACTACAGAGTCCATGTGCTACAACTACTGAGCTCTGGAACCCACGTACCACAACTAGAGAGAAGCCCACACATTGCAACAAAGAGCCCATGTGCTGCAGCAAAAGATCCCATGTGCCACAACTAAGACCCCACACAGCCAAAAATAAATAAATATTAATTAAAAAAAAAAAACCCCACATGATCCAACTATATGCTTTCCACAAGAGACTCACTTTAGATCCAAAGACACAAACAGATTGAAAGTCAGAGGATGGAAAAAGATATTCCATGCAAATACTAACCAAAAGAGAGCAGAGGTTTCTATATTAAAATCAGACAAAATAAGCTTTAAATCAAAAAAGATTACAAGTGACAATGAAGGACGTTATATAAATAAAAGGTATAATACAGCAAGAAGATATTACAATTGTAAACACTTACATAATGACAGAAGATCAAAATACATGAACCAAAGAATGACAGAATGGAAGGGAGAAAGAGCACTACAACAACAGATGGAAACTTCAATGTCCCATTCTCAATAATGGAGAGAACCACCAAACAAAAGATAAGTAAAGAAATAGAGGACTTAAATAACATAATAAACCAACCTGATCTAACAGATACATACAGAACATTTTACCCAACAATAGCATACACATTCTTCTCAAGTGTACATGGGACATTTTCCAGGGCAGACCATAGGTTAGGCCACAAATTAAGTCTCAACAGATTTAAAAAGATATCATACAGGGCTTCCCTGGTGGCGTAGTGGTTGAGAGCCTGCCTGCCCATGCAGGGGACATGGGTTTGTGTCCCGGTCTGGGAGGATCCCACATGCCGCAGAGCAGCTGGGCCCGTGGGCCATGACCACTGGGCCTGTGCGTCCGGAGCCTGTGCTCCGCAGCAGGAGAGGCCACAACAGTGAGAGGCCCGCGTACCACAAAAAAAAAAAAAAAAAAAAAAAAAAAAAAAAAGATATCATACAAAGTATGATTTGTGTCTAATGAAAACAAAAACTTAACATACCAAAACTTACAGGATGCAGAGAAAGCAGTGTTAAGAGGGAGAGTTGTAGCTATAGATGCTTCCAGTAAAAAAAAAAAAAGACCTCAAATCAACAACCTAACAACATAATTAAGTAGGAAAAGAAAAGCAAACTAAACCCATACCTAGCAGTAGGGAATATGAAAGATTAAAGATAAATAATACAGGGGACTTCCCTGGCAGTCCAGTGGTTAAGACTCTGCACCCCCAATGCAGGGGGCACGGGTTTGATCCCTGGAACTAAGATCCTGCATTCTGTGGCCAAACAGTTAAACAAACAAACAAACAAATATTTTTAAAAAGGTAAATAGTGCAGAGAATTAAAAAAATAGAGAAAAATCAGTGAAAC